CGATGGAACTCAAGAATGACTATCTTACCATCTGACACATAGTGATAGAGCCCCATTTTGACCGTGTTGAACTCGACAGCAGGATTCAGAACCCAGAGCTACGCCACCGCATTATCAAAAGTCCCCTTAGAATTGGTCAATCCATAATCCACGGCCAGTTAGAGATGGGAAACCAAGTCCGCACGAGTCTTCAGACCTTTGAACTCTTCCGGCTCATCCTCGGTAGGAGTCGATTCCGCCTTCAGGGACGCCACCAACTCCTCGAGAGCTTTCTTCTCTAGCAGAAGGGTTTCACGCTCTTCAGCCACCTTCGCTAAGCTCTCAACCGCCGTCATTCGGGAAGCCTCCCCATTGGAGCACTCCTTCTCAGAAGTTGCCAACTTGGCCTGCAATTTTCTCATCTCGACCTCCTAAGAAGTACCTCCCTCAGTATACGCAACATCCATCTCAAAAACCCTCATGACGACACTAACATCTTGAGCCAACGTCGCCCTCTTGCTCGGAAAATCCAACGCCTCAAGCAAAAGCAACTCAGCTTGGGGAAGTTGCAGATTGGCTCCCTCAAAGAAAGTCTTGTTATACCAACAAGGAGGCAGATCGAACTGACCCTTTTCCTTTTCTCCCGTTATATCAACCGTGCCCTCGAGGCATTGCCTTTTGAACCTCGAAGACACATGTAGGGGAAAGAGCTCTGGCTGCTGGACCATTCGACAATGTGCTTGAACCCATTTGTGGAGCCACCCCTACATCACCTAGCAAGGGTCCGATAGACTTTTACGCCTTCTTCACCTTCATGATGGCTGCTTTAGCCATGCACTCTGCATCGAGATTCATTTTTTCTACAAGAAACAATAAATAAGAGTTAGCAAACAAAGATAAAGAATCGAGCATATAAATCGGGTCGAAATAAAGAAACTACCTAAACACGCCACAGGATCCTCGCTCTTGAGGAACTCCTTGACATTTATAAGACCAGGTTCATAAAGAAAATTTCCATCCTCGTCAGTCAATGGCCTTCCCTCTTTGCCCAGACGTTAGACTGGGGGGATCCTCGCAACAAAGGTCGAGGGATAGTCATTACTAGCTTGGTCCTCGTCACCCACCTGGCCCTTCTTTCATATATAATGGTCAGTCCCATCATCACAATGTTTCCTCGACCAATGAAAGAGAAACTTTGGCACTAACTTCACCACCAAATTCCCCTTCTCATTCAGATGAGGTTTCCCGGTCTCGTCGACCAATTTAACGCTCCTGGAAACATTTAGCAGTGCCTTCCCCAACACAGGCCGAACCAACATATATCTCCTCTTAAAATCTCGAACAAACTCAAGGTAAGCTTTGAACAAATTCCCGTTCGCTTGCTTGAGGGAAACCCATGCAAATTGAGCACCAAAGCGCCCCATTAGTGGTGGAAGTAGTAGAAGAATAGAGGACAATAGCCCTTATCTACCGATAATTAAACACAATATCGAAAGCCCGCAGGAAAGCAATCGAGTTGGGATACAGTTGCGAGGGAGCAAGGCGGAGATGCTGTAGAACGACCGAATAAAGGTCACTAAAAGGAATTCTGAAACCCATATCCCGAAAGAGAATCTTGTACGTAGAGATATGATTCGGTTCAAACTTCAAACATATCTGATGATTCAGATTAGGTATATATACCGATCGCTCCCCCTTGACTCCCTCTAACTCCATCCCCGGAGCCATCAAGGTCAACACTTCAACAGGATGTTCACAGAAATAGGAGATATGCTTCAAAGGGTTGAGCACGACCCAAGCTAAGGGATCCGATTGGATTACGGGTACATCCTACCCCTCCTCGACCAACTCTGGCTCGATCGGATCGGGTTCAGGCATCCCCGAAGTGATATCCTCTGTCGATGTTTGGAAAGAATTAGCAAGGAACCACTGGGTTTGACCACCAACTCATCATCAATACCACTAGCCATCGTACTTGAAAAGCAGAGGACAAAAGTGAATTTGACATCAAAATCAAATCCACCCTTCCACCACTAATCAAGTGAAAAGGCGCAATGGAACGAGGACCTTGTCCCTGACAAAAACCCTCACTCGGCCGTAAAAAGAAAAACAGACTCTCTCGTGGCACATCTGCAACAAGAAAGAGCACAAAAATCCTCCAAGAAGCTATCTCCCCAATAACTCTGGGTCGAAGCCGCTCATTAAGAACTCATCGTTTTTTATAAAGATCATAAAACATAAGCCCAGAAACATCCCCATGCCACCATCCTCAGACGAAGAAACCATCGCCAAACACCAACACTTCGTCGGGGACTCTCACGCTAAGCTACTCTAAACCCTAAACCGCATGCATTTCTAGGAAAAGAAGCACAAAATCTAGCCTATAACATAAGCAAATTCTACTATAACAGAGGAAAATCATGAAACTTACCAAGTTATCAACGACTATTAGCGGGATAAGAGGAAATCTCGACGGTGAATGGCGGAATGAGAGAAAAACTTCAAAGGATAACTGTGTCGAGTAGAAATAAGAAGCGACGAGAAGAAGGAGAGCAAGAGAAAAGTACAAATGAAGATCCTTCTCCTCCTTTTATAGAGCATCTTACTGGAACGTGAGTGAGCATACGCCTAGGGAACTCTAAAAGGCGTCATCATTACGCCCTAGTTCCTAGGCTAGCCATCATCACACCTTTATTGCAGCACGTGACTCGATGCAAGCATGGCACACTAAATCCCTAAGAGAATCTCAATTGTTCCTCTCTTTGTGAGACGAACACGTTGAGAATCACTTTTACTCCTCTTCCCAGAAGCAACGACTTAGGGGCTCCTGTTCTGGATTGGCCCAATGACTAGAATTGGCCTGATCCGATTCTGCCTCCAGAATGGCCCTACAAGCATTGGCCCAATAACTATGGTTGTCGAACGGACACATCTGGTCGACTACCTCCTAGAATTTCCAGACAAACTCCGCCTAAATTACGCTCCCATCCTCCTCGACATCCATCCCCAAATCTGCTCGCTACACGCTGAGAAGACAACTAGACTAGCGCTCACAACACATCTTCCCGTCATCTCACCATTTCCCGCTAACGACTAGTTACGAGCACAGCTTCCCATTTTGACCAAGTCCTGGCAGTTACCTATTTTTGTAGAACCTAATATTTAGGCCCAAAAATAGGAACCAACGGCTACGCGCTGAGGGCACTATATAAACCCTCACATTCTGATAGCCAAGTATCCAATATTCAAACCTTAAATCCTAATATCTTGCTTGTATCTCTTTGCATCCATTATTACTTGATCTTCGGAGTTCCTTGCAGGTACAATTCCCATTTCTCCTCAACTTTCCAGCAAAGCAGACATCACCTTCGGCCCACTTTCAAGTTCTAATCACAGGTACGATCAATTAGGGTTGTTAAAAAAATCATGAATTGAACTGAACCACCAAACTGAATCGAACTGAGGTTAAAATAATCAAACTGTTTTATTTGGTTAGTGAACCAAACTATATTACACAAACAGTTCTATAACTGAACTGAAAATGAAACCAAACTGAACCAAAACTGAAATGGAACCGAACAAAAACTGAAAATGAAAAATACTAAAAATAAAATTTAATTTAAAAAATATAGTTTAACGGTTTGGTTCTTTAATAAACGGTTCAGTTCGGGAAAATTTTCCTTTTAACGGTTCAGTACGGTTCGGAATTTTGAAACGGTATACCAAACCAATAATTTTGGTTCGGTTTGGTTCTGAGTAAATTGAAACAGTTCGGTTCAGTTCGAGTGAATTTTATTATGGTTTAGTTCGGTTTGGTTCGGATTTCTCTCTGAATTCTACCATGAATAACCCTATGAATCACAATAGGCTACTCAGATTCAGAAGCAAAACTAAGAGAAAGAATATAAACATGAAATTTAGGGAAGTTGGGACCAAGAATCAGAAACTTAAAATCACAGTTGAGGTTATTCACTTATTCATGTTCTCACACTACGACTGGGAAAAATACCTATGACATAGATGATGATACAATTTATACCCTTTTTTAGAAGGATGTCCAATAAAGATACATCTATTTACACAATAATCCAAAATATTTTGATGTTACTTAAGAATTTAAACAAAATCAACATGCCCAAATACTTGAGAAAATTTGATATAAATGATGATTTTCTCTTTATGTGGCACCGTTTTATTAGGAAATGTCGGTGTTAGGGGATAATGGAGACTCAAATGATCTATAAAAGGGGTTGAATAGAAGTTTCCCAAATATACTATTATAAAAATGTTTACTATTCTGGGCCGACCATATCTACCTTGACCCGGCTATGCCTCCATGGATCTGGCTACCTTAATACAGACCACCCCGGGTTCGAATGCACCTACTACGCACTTGATCACCTTCTAGAATATTCCCCCAACCACTAGAATATTGTATACCCAGCTGCAAGGGGATTCATGCCCTAAGCATATCCAACGTCCCTCTACATTATACGTGTGAAAGATAGCGAGGCCGTTATTCCTCTTCCTATATATATGGAATAAGATCATTTTAGATAACAAGTTTCAAACATAATTGGAATAATCTCACATCATTCATATACTGACTTGAGCATTAGAGTGTTAACCTTACAGTTATACACCCCTATTTTGTCACGTCGGAAGCTCTTATCTGCCGCAACTTCCACAACTCTTCATATTTCTGAATTCATAACAAAATAGTGGCGTCGTTTATGAGAATCAACTTCTGATTCCTCCATATCCTATGATTCTTCATCTTCATGTTCAATATTTTAGTGTGAAGTTCTCTTCAATATTGAAATAGAAGATTTAAAATATCAAAGAAAATTCAGTTGCACTCAATTAAATCGAATTCAACATCGATAGAGATATACAGATTCTGCATATCTCTGATTTTCAATGCTTCTAAACTTCTTGGATCCATAGAAATGGGTGGATCAAGAGCTACTTATTTGGAAACCGAGTGTGAAGCCACTCTAGAGGCTGCTGGAATAACATCATCAGCCACTAGTTAATACTAACTCTTCAGCAGCCAGTTCTAATCCTCCCTCCACTGCGAGCAAGAACAATCCAAATGATGTCACTTCAGATTCCATTTATAATTCCTATGGAACAACTTGAGATCTCACGCGGTTTCGGTATTCTTAAGGTGAGCATTAGATCTCAAGGAGCAGACGAGTTAATCAACAATAGTTACAACATCATTCAAAGATAAAACTCCAAAGTAGTGGAAGAAAGATTCCTTCGTCTAGAAGAAAGTCTCAAACACATTCAACTCTGGGAAAATACAATGGAAGAAGCTAACTCGAGAAGAAATTTTACGAACGGCCAGAGACGTCTGCAGCGAAAGAAGAAAGGAAATTCCATAAATCAAAAGAATGTTCTAAAGGCGGGAAGCGTAATTCTCCTCCCTAGATTTATAATGGAGACCAAGGTAGTTATTCTCTTTCCCTGGATCGTAATAAACATCAACCAAACTGGGAACAACCTAAACATCATCTGTATGCTTGGATCTTAGAAAGAAAAGATTCCAAATCCATGCAAAAGCCTCCCAAATTAGGTGAATACAATGGGAAAGGAGAACCCGACGAACATGTGCAACTTGTCAACGACCGTCTCAACTACTACACCACCAACGATGCCTCTAAATGAAAATTATTAGCGCTGATGATAGTCGGACTGGCCAGGCAGTAGTTCAACGGTCTTCCTGATGATTGCATCAAATAATGGATAAATTTTTGCAATCTACTTACTGTGTATTTCACCACTCGGAAAAGACAAGCAGTTACTATAGTTTCCCTTAGAAGCATCATATAAGGAGCGGAGGAGATCTTGTGATCGTACATCGATTGGTTCAATCAAGTTACAATAGAAGTAGAAGTAACCAAAGATTCCCTCCGATGCTGGATCTTTGAGAATAGCCTTCTTCGTGATCATCCTTTCTGCACTAAGTTGGGTAAGAAAAAGGTGAGAAAAACTCAAGAGATGTTAAACCTAGCTTAACCATACATCACAATGGAGGATAAGGTGAACACTTACTTCGATAATCCAACCTCGACTATGGATATTACCAATGAACACACTCCGAGAAAAGAATTATGTTGGAAAAGATAAGATACCGATAGAGGAATACAGCCGATACGACAAGTATATGCCTTTGAACACTTTCCGATGGATAATTTATCGATAATGTGCTAATACCAAGTTCAGAAAAGTGGGAATCCAACCCCCTAATACTGTAAGTGAATCCTCTCGGACGGATAAATAAAATTACTGTCGCTTTCATAGGGGATATTTCCACAACACTAACAATAGCATTCAACTCAAGAATGCGATTAAATCTTTGATTAGGAAATTTTAGCTATCTGAATATCTCAAAGGGGGTAAACAGGATCGAGAAGAGTCTCTAAATACTAAATCCCCCACAAAGAATCCCAAGTCTAGTCCCAGCGGTGAAAAGGGAGAAACTAGCAAAGGGACAATCAAAAGAAAGATCAGTGAGATTATGGCTGCTTATAATGGTGGATGTAACTCGTTATCCGACATCCCTGATCGACCCATGTTGGGGTTTCGAGACTCCAAAAAAGTTGGAGGAATTTCCAACGAATTGTTCCCTTTGGTAATCATAGCTATTGTGGGATAATTCGACGTCTCACAGATTTTGATAGATGGAGGAAGCTCATGTGATATCCTTTACTCATCATTATTTGAGAAGATGGGTTTAGATTGAGGAGGCCTAATTGTTAGACTTGAGACTTCACGCGTAAAAGGGGGGAGAGGGTGAATTGTGTGGTTTAGAAAAACTTGATTTTGAAAACCTTTCCTAAGATCTATTAGTGTTTAAAAGATTTTTCTAAGACTTAGCAGCGGAATAAAATATTTTGAAAGATAAAGTGTGGAAAATAAAAATTTTAAGGGAAAAGAAGAACACCACAATGTATAGAGGTTCAATCATAAATACGAGACCTAATTCTTTCCCCAATAACTGATCTTGTAAGTTTCCATTATGTACTTAAGAGCTTTTAGTAGGTGAAGCTCATGAACCCTCTTATACAAGGAAATGGTGGTTGACTTACAACCGTGTTTATACAAGACGGAAGATATGATCGATTGCATCTTATCCATTGAAATGCTGAGACTGAAGTGGCAAAGCTTTCTTCCCAATGGTAGATTAAAGCGATAAGACTTCTCTCTACAAAATATCTGAGCTCAATATGGTTTTACATGATAACCATTAACCTCTTGAGATTTTAACATGTTGATCTTCTAACCTATGGTTTTATAAGGGCTAACCATGAACCTAATGGTAAGTTCATCAATATTGAATAACTTCATCCTTCAAATGAACAAAGCTTTATAATAGCCTTAAGGTAAGTTCAACCATATTGACGATATTCAACCTAACTCAATATTGAGAACTGATCACGCAATTCCCAACCAAAGCTTTTAAAGGGTTTAGCTTCCAACCTCATATTTTTATCCCTAAACAGATTGTGTTCATCCAAGGTGCATGAATAATAACCTTGAAGAACTTTATACATTTCCACCCATCCAGACTTACATAGACACCTCACTCCCAAAAGACCTTTATTCACAAAGGCATGTGGCTATAAGAACTCATAAGAGAAAGCGATAAAAAAACTTAGAGAGATAGGGGGTGTGTGTCAATACACATTTTGTCTTCTGAATGATTTGAACCGAGGAATGAGACCTCTATTTATATGTTTTAAATCCTCCAAAAGAGAAAATAGCATTACACCAAATTTGACTGTTACCAATTGATTATTTCATTTAAAATATGTAAGAATTGATATATAGTTGTTGCTAATCATTTGGGTACATTAAGATTTCCTTGTTTCTTAAGAACGCACCAATCTAATCGATTGACACTTTGTGGTAATCGATTAGATCCAACCAAAGTAATTTTCCTGGCTCTTTGATTATTCCCAACATTTTCTAAGCAACTTCTATATATCTTTTCAAAGTATTTTCTTTTCAAAAAAATTTTATAAAAAGGTTTTAAGTGTGCATGTGCTTATAGCCATCTACTTATAAAGAAAGAACTTTTGATTTTACAAAAGTTTCAACCACTTATTAAATTAGGATAGCTTCCCTAAGCATGTATCTGATGTCTTCATTATGTTGACACCTGCTCGAGATCTCTTGAGGCTTTTGATATAATTTGTTTGTTTTGCCTTTGTCTTAACAACCTTTGTTGATGTATGAAACTTTGTCATCCCTTATCAAACCCATGGCTTGCATCTTTAAGTATTTAGAGTATATTGGTTGACTTCTTTTGTGATTGCATCTATACTATGTTGAATGTTCTCTTTCTGATCCTTTGTAGTTGTCATCATGCTGCATCTCTTATTATGTTGAGTGTTTGTTATGTACTTTACAGTCAAGGACTTGTTGCATATATCATGTTGATTTATTTGCTCTTTTCTTTTATAGTTAAGTCAAAAATTTGTTGCATCTTCAATATGATGGGTGTTTGTTCTGTACTTCATAATTGTCATCTTCATAACAAAGGCACCTAATACCCACAAAACAAGGATCAACACTAATACCATATGACAACTCAGATTTACAAGTGTTTAATGGGACGACTACTCGTCTCTAGAACTACACAAAGTTAATGGTATTTGTGGGAGATGGCAGCGACATATGATCTATCAATACCCAATTCCTAGTCATCCCATGCAAAATCGTATACAATTTAATCTTTGTTAGACCCTTCACATAAACTTTGGGCGTTGTGGCCTCACTTGTGCACCTAAAACTTAAGTACCACAAACTTCATGGAGAGTCGATTGTCTTGCTCGCTGATCATGAAGCATCCAAAAAGATACACAATGCACTCCAACAGGACCAAGTGGAAAGTACCTCTATGGAGATCAACATGACCTCCCTTATATGGAGACTTCAAAACTTGGATATTCATACTCCCAAATGTGGCTGAGGAAAGAGAATACCGCCATGAGAAAAAGATGAGGGGATGCCCACTTGGTTATATTTTGTTTTGTTCTTCGTATTCATATATGTGTAATCATATGTATAAGCTCCCACATATGTTATACATACAATTTTTAATTATAAGTAAAGTCACTAAAAGTATGAACTGTTTGTTTCTTTGTGATTACTGACAGTAACGATGAAAATGGGGGCACAACCAACACAGTTGACGCCATACACAAAAATTCAAGGGTGATATTAGATACACTTTGTGTGCCTGGATACACCAATCAATTCTACACAACGCCTTGCACGCCTTTAGAATTCAAAGGTACTATCGAATATGCTTTGTACGCTCGACTACAACAATCAATTCTCCATGACATCTTATGCGTCTTCAGATTTCAGAGTAGCTATCTGAGACCCTTCACACGTCCGACTATAACAACCAATTACCCTAGGGGTGCAATCTGAGACACTTTGCACGTCTAAATAAAACATTCAAATACCCTTGTCAAAGAAATACACGTTTTCATGGAGCGTAGTACAAAGCATGGCTACATCTAGGCGGCGTCATGCCTCTCGTCTGTAAGTATATTTTGAAACATAACCACAATTAACGGGACTCATGCTTTATCAATATAAATGTGATTAAGGCATAGTCGTGTCTAGCTGGTTCGACATGAAATACTTACATGTATAATTGAGAGCATAAATGCTCAGATCCAAGCTCGTATTTCATTAGTTATGATTCAAAATATGGACACATAAACTATATGAATGCTTCCTTTGTGCAAGCACACTCAGAGTACAGCTACACGCTACTACCTCAGCATCCTATCAAGACAAGGCATATGTCTTAATGCAACATGCTCAGAAGAGAAACAACCATACATGGCTTCATAAAATACTTAACGACATTTACACTTTAAGAAAATATTATTTACTACTCTCTTTAAGAGACAAATTGTGCAAATTGTAGGACTCAAAAGCAAGCCCTAGCTTTTCTCGGATTGTAGTTCTCTTAGATCCCAACCAACTAATAACAACAGTTAAATAAATAAAAATATTGAAAACATTATTAAAATTCCTATATATGAAATCCCAGTGCCTACTCCAAGGCCCAATTGCAAACACTATCTTGATGAGATAGATCAACGCCTGACAGATGAAGTGTACACACCTTAACACCGCTCATTCTAAAATGAAATGGATGGTATAACCCAAGGTTATTTATGTTTTTATACTTTTCATCTAATAAATTTCATGATAGAAAGTATTTATAAATTGTAGGTGCATAAAAAAACCATGACACCACGAGGTGAAACTTCATCTACAAAAAAATGAACTTTAAACAAGAACGACGAAAAAATCCACTAACAACGAGGACACATTACAATTACAAACATTCCAGAAGAATGCACAAAATAAAAGGGGCGCAGACGGGCACCTGAGCCTTATTTAAGAATATAGATAATCCAACAATCATGGACAACCTTACCAAGTTAGATTTTCTCCCTAGAAACAACCAGCGGGCGCTGAAAATGCTACACTTGTTGCAATGTATTTTCAAAAGACTTTACAACTTCCCCAAGATTCACATAAGAAGAATCTTTAAATTGTAGAGTCAAAGAAGCATTTTGACTGCATAGGAACTCCAACTTACTCTGAGAATATTCAAGAGCTTGGGTCCTCTCCTCCAACATTCTTAACATATGCATCACTTGACCACCGAAAATACCAAAAATATTAAACAGAGTAAAAGCTTTACATACCTCCTATGGAAAAGAGTAAACATTATGCAGTTCCCTCAATTAAGTATCTCGTTGGAATGTTAAACTATTCATGCTCCTCTCCTACCAGATCCTTTCCTCACGTTCCCAGACTGTCCAAAAAGCTTCTAAACAGGCAACACTTCAAGAAAGTTCTAGGGGGAAAAAGATCTATAGAAGTGCCAAGTGGTCGCATTCTCTACTTTAGGA